CTTGGGGGCGGGGCTCCGCTAGGCTCACGTGTGCTCTGTTGCACCTACCCTATGCTCAGCCCATTCCAAACTTGACCCGACTTCTCCAGGTGCTACTTCACGTTATATCTAATTTCCGTACAAACAAACAAACAAACAGACAGGACAGACAGAGCGCTTTGTATATAGTAAGGATGCCGGATGCGGGGACGCATTCCTCAGGCGAGACTGATCAACGCCCCAGAACTTTACCCTTATCCTTTAGGGTACGTTGCTGTAAGCTGCTTTTAGGAAGGCGCTGACTTTTTTTTCCGACAAGAGAATGGATCATCAAGTCTGCAAGTGGGCATAGAACAACTCTAGCAGATATTTCCGGAAACTTTAGTTTTGTGTATGGAGAAAGTAATCAAGGCCCCCAGTGTAGACAGGTTTTTTGCCGATTCGCACTTCCGAGCACCAACAGATCTTGATAGATTATAGATTTTCAGGAAGGATCGAATAAAGGAAGCGTTGCTGAGTAGAAAAATTGTTACGTCTGGAAAGTAGAGGTTCACTAGTAGTCGTCAACAGATGGAGATCTATGTCGATTGAAATGAACGGGTGGAGGAGCTGAATCAGCAGGGCGGGTTTGTGTATGGTTCGTGATGGTGAGACCAGATGGCTGGTCGATAAGATTCGATGTTAAATCATAAGAAGGTGAGATGCAATTCGTCGTCGGAAAAACCGAAAACCGCTCGACACTTCTTTGTAAACGCACAAAGCCGTCACGGTATCCGTCTAGACGTTCTTTGAGCACACTAAAATACAAAAAATTGAAAAGATTAAAGGCACGGTTCACGATAAAAAAGGTTACAGATTTCTTCCTTTAGGAATACTCAGCCCCCCCCCCTATGTATTGTAGAAGGGAACCTCTCGCTCCCACATTCTCGGCGCTTAGGGCATAGTGGGAGCCCCGTTGCTGCCGTAGTTCGCTTTCCCGCCCCTCGATCGGTGTCACGTTAGACGAGTGTCTAGACAGTACAGATTGCTATTATTCGTTCTAGGACCCACGCACAATCAGCTAATCGCCAAGTGATGAGGCGATGCTTTTCGTTTTTCCTCGAGGCTGAAAAAGGTGAGCTACTTTTGCTGTTACTAGGGTTTTTTT